ATCCATCTCCCTCTGTCTGGACATCTCCACAATATTTTATTCCAGCATTTGAGATGTCTTTCTAAGGGAGCCTCTGTATTATACTGCTTACCAATCCACCATCCTTAGCTCCTCTGATTTATAGTTTTAACTTTCAAAGCAAGAAATTTTGTTCCTTTGTTTTAGAAAACACAGTCTTCCAAATAGTTCAAGCTGGCCTCAAATTTACAGTGGACCTCCTCTGGTTCCACTTTCTAATAAATATTTTTAAAGAAAACAGTTAATAATACACATGTGTTTGGAATCTAAACTGATTCTATCTTTCCTTTTAAAATCTGTATGTCTGCATATATACTCAGAAATACATGATAATACAGTTTTTAGTTTTTGAGGAACTTTCATATTAGTCCCCATGATGGTTGACTACTTACTTTTCTTTTCTGTAAAATGGGAACAATATAATTCTTGTTTGCTTTATTTACCCCATAAGATTTTAGATAGTCCTAAATAATTAAAGCTTGACTTTCACGCTAAAATCATGAACAAGACAAGGATTTCTGCTATCACCATTCCTATTCAATATAGTGCTGGAAATACTAGCCAGGGCAATCAATCAAGAGAGATAAATAAAAGGAAGAAAGATTGGATAGGAAGAAGGTAAATTATCATTATATGCAGATGACATGATACATGATACTCTGTATAGAAGACTCAAAAACTCCATTAAAGGACAACTAGAATTAATAAATTCAGCAGCATAGCTGGATACAAAGCCAATGCTCAAAAATCAATAGCATTCCTGTATACAATCAAAAACTCACTGAAAGAGAAATTATCCTTTCACAACAGCATCTAAAAAGATGAAATACTTAGGAATCAACCTAACCAAGAATTTAAAAGATTGATATGCTGAAAATTATGATATGCTAAAAAAGGAGTTTGAAGAAGATATTAGAAAATGGAAGGATATTTCTTGCTCTTGGCTAGGAGGAATCAATATTGTGAAAATGGCCATATTCCCAAAACTGTTATAAGATTTAACACAATCCCAATTAAAATACCATTGACATATCTCACAGGTCAAGAGAAAACACTCCTAAAATTCATTGCAAAACAGAAGAAATCTAGAATAGCAAAGACAATTCTGGACAAGAAAAGTAAGGTAGGAAGCATCTCAATTCCTGACTTGAAACTATACTACAAAGCCACAGTGATAAAATCAGCAAGATACTCTCAAAGGAGTAGCCCTGAGAATCAATGGAATGGATTAAAAGATGCAGCACAACTACAAAGACATTCAGCCACCTGATATTTGAAAAAGGGGCTTAACATGTTCACTGTAAGAGGGATAGTCTCTTTAATAAATGCTGCTGGAAAAAATGGCTTTCCACATGTCAAAGACTGAAACTAGACCCATGCCTACCTCCATGCACAAAACTAAAGTCTAAATATTAAAACAAAAACACTAAATCTACCAGAAGACAAGGTAAGTAAAAGTCTTGGAGACATAGGGAAAGGTAGAGAATTCATGAAAAAAATGCAAACTGCATAGGAAATACTTCAAAGTATCAAAACCTGGAATCTCATATTATTGAAAAGTTTTTGCACTTCAAAAGAAATCACCAACTGAATGAAAATCAAACCCACAGAATAGGAAAGAAGTTTAGCCAGAAACCCATCAGACAAAGAACTTATATCCAGAACATATAAAGAACTGAAAAACACAAAGCTGCCCAAAATCAAAGACCTTCTCCAAAAATGGGCACTGAGACGAACACACATTTCTCAAATAAAGATATGCAAATGGAAAATAAGTATATGAAGAAATGTTTACTATCATTGGTCATTCGATAAATGCAAATTAAAATTTCATCTCACTCTGGAAGGAATAGCTGCCAACAAGAAGTCAACTGATAACAAATGTTGGTGAGGCTGCAGGGAAAACGGACCATTGGTCCACTGTGGGTCGGAGTGTAAGCTGGTGTAGCCACTATGGAAATCATTATGGAGATTTCTCAGAAGACTAGGATTAGAAGTTCCATTCAATTCAGCTATTCGCCTCCTGGGTATTTTCCTAGAAAAACTGAAAAGCTCATGTCATAGTGATGTATGTGCACCCATGTACATATCAGCACAATTTGTAATAGCTAAATCTTGGAAACAATCAAAATGTCCATCAAACAGAGTATGAATGAAAAAGATGTGGTACTTTTATACAATGGAATATTATTCAGCTATTAAAAAGGATGGTGTCTTACTTATTTCTTACTCATTGCTGAGACAAAATATCTGAAGCCCAAGTTTTGAAAGGAAAGATTTATTTCTTACAGTTTTTGGAGGTTTCAGTCCACACTTAGTTGACTCCAAGGCAGGCAAGCATGGCTGGGCTGCAGTTCAAGGTGGTTGCAAACAGCAAGCAGGAACCAGCAAAAGAGCAAGCACACCTTCTTCCTGCAATTACATCACATCCTGGCTCCATCCCTATGTGGGTGGAGCACTGACACTATCAATCCAACAATGGTTCTAGACAATGGTTCTAGACAATGAACCATCACAAATGCACAGTGCAAACTCATGAGGCCTGGGGGACACAGACATAAACCATGACAGATGGTCTTGAGGCCTTTATTGGTAAATGGAGGCAAACTTGAGACTATCCTCATAAGTGAGATAAATAATAATCATATTTATAAATATTACATTGTGTCTCTAGTATAAAAAGTAGTAACTGTAGGAGTAATAAAACCCAAAATGTGTAATTGCTACTATAAAAAAGAGAGGAAAAGAAAGTACTCTAAAGAATATAACTGCAGGTGTGTTTAAGTGTGTAAGATTTATAACCATTATTACTAAGTTTTGTTGGATCATTTAACAGAATTGTTTGCAGTCTCACTGAGTGTATACTTTGTGTGCTTTAATTTTGTAACTTGAACAACTATTTCTAAGAGGACAATACGAAATTTATCAACTAGTGATTTCTTTCTGTTTATTTTCTTCAAATTCTATGTTATATTTACTCTTTTTTCTGTTTTGCTTTTTTCTCTTTAAATAAAATTTTTAAAACAGTAATTAAAGCTTGAAAGAATGTTTGTAAATAGGAGGCTTCACTTTAGTAGCTGTCACCCCACTCAGGAAAACCAAGATTGCTAAGCTAATGGATTCAGTGCTTATTACCAATCTTCAGGGAAGATGTGCATGAGAAGGAACTGAAGAAAGCTTAAACAAAAAGAACTCAGTTACAGATCAACAGAAGTCAACAGCACAAGACAAATGGTGAATAGTACTGTACGCTAGGATCAGTACAAGTGGGATATTGTCTTACTTATATAATCAGGGGTATGATTTTGAAAAGCCAAAGCATATACAGTTTGTGCCTTATTAATCATCTATGGATATGTTTTGAGCTCCTCTCATAATAAGCCAGCAATTTGTAAATGGCCTCTTCAAAATCACAGAATATTAAATAGCCCACAATATTCAACCTCAGAATGTGGATTTGTGCCAAAAGATTGACAGCTCTCAGGGAAGACGTAGTGAGTTAAATAAATGAATTGTTAAACCAAGCTATTGAGTAAGTAATTTCAGATCCTTTGAAAATGTTCAGCTCCCAATAAATATTACAATTTTTAACTCAAAATTGTATAGTCTTTAGTCAAAACTCTTCCCTATACACTGTAATTCTTTGTAACCGATGAACTGAATATGTTTACACTTATTTTAGAGAATCCAGAGACTCACTGGGCCAATCAAATTGTTAAATGAATACTGTATAGATGACTTCTTAGCTTTTTTAAAGTCTTGGTAGTCCAGTGAAAGTAGAAACACAGAAGCAAACAGAAGTGTAATGTGAAACTTCCTCCCCACAAAATACTGTTACTACATCAACAAGTGATATGAGCAACCATGTATCTATCTATCAGAGTTAGTGTAAGAACCAGAAAACAGGATTTCAGTATGAAGGAGATTCAGTAAAGAATGAGGTATGGTCAAAATCACTGAATACACTGGAGGAGTTAAACACAGGGTGCAGCCACTGGTGATGACTTTTTGTTTCAAAGTCGTACCCCTTCAGCTGTGACCAAGAGATTACTGAAGACAATCCATGGCCCTATATCTATGAATTGGTTACTGTAGGGTAGAAGATGGCACCTGGATGTTGAAACTACACTCATCTGAAAAATCACATTACCAGCTGACATCTCTATAGAAATATATCCTCTGCTCGCATCTCATCCCATGCATATACATAGCTCCAGCTGAAAATACATCGCATCATCATCCGTGATAAAGAACAGGCTAAAAATCAGAGCTTTCAGCCTTCCAGCCCCATTTACATGGATTGGTTGGAGAAAAAGGGAAGTGGAAGCAAATGCTGAGTATAAAAATTATATTTAACCCAGCATGGTATATGAAAAGCATTTATGTAATATTATATGCACATTTAAACATTTTCAGAGATTAAAAATATACAAAATAGGAATCTTTTCTTCAAAAAGCATTTATTCTAAGAAGATGAGGCATAGTTAACATCAGCAAAGAATATTACTAGCGTTCAACAAAGAGAATGTTATAGGATTGAGTATAAAGATTTGTGGGTAAAGAAAATTGATTTTATGTTAGTAAGACAAAAAAAAAAACTTGCTCCTTGTTATTAGCTCCTACAGTATTTCAGTAATAAGAACAGCACTGTTGATGAGGAGATTTAAAACTTGTCTAGGGTCAAAGCAGACTCACAGCTTCAACTTATCTACCTGGTGCACCGATTAGGTGAAAGTTTTTACAGCAAATAATTATTCAAGTACTTTCCATCATCACAAAATACCTTCTTCTCTTCTACTAATGTTATAAAGCTATCATATATTAAAAACAACCAAATATAGATGCATAAGCAAATCAGCACACCAATTTGGAACTTTAGATAAATGAGAAACAGAAAAATGGCCTCAAACAAAGAAGACTGAATAAAACACCTACCACAAGCTTTGCGAAAGGACAAGCAATAAACATTAAAATGCACTGATCATGACATCAGAGAGAGGGCCCAAGAGCCTAAGAAATGGGCATCTTTACCAAGGGTTTGCTTCTAAGTGGCAAATCATGGAAGTTTTACCCATCAGTTCTTGTTAGTTTCTCCTTTGTTCAAGTTGTCTGTGGTCAGATGCTTTCCAGTGGCCCATTTGCAAATATTCTCAAGGTCCATCCATGACCAGCTTTTAAAACAAGACAAGCAATGGGGAATCAGAAAGCTCAAGTGGTACTGTGAGCTGGAAGTCATAGCCAAAGTGCTACTGTTTACTGTAAGCATCACATGACACATGACAATTACATTATCTATAAAACTAAAGTTAAATAGTTATTATGCAATAAAATGTCTTGCTGTTCTAAGTAACCATTCCTTGATTAGAAGAAATCCTCATAATTTCTAACTTAATTTTATATATATATATATACTTTTCCAAATCAAATGTGTCATTAAAAAAACTGATCTAGAGGCAAATTCCTGTCTTCAGGATTCCTTTCTTTCTTTAGGATGAATTTCTTTCAGAAATTCTAGGATTTTATTTCTCCCAATTCTTTGCCAATTTTTAAAAATCAACTGGTGGGGCTGGGGATTTAGCTCAGCGGCATAAGTGCCTGTCTTGCAAGCAGGCAGTCGTGAGTTCAATCCCTGGTACCGATAAAAAGACAAAAAAAAAAAAGATAAAAATCAACTGGTGTTAACAAGAAATAATGTTTCTGGGGAAATCCCATCAAACTTAGGGTTGTATGAAAAATAAACTTTGCAGCAAAACCAATATAAATAGAGGGATTTTTAAAGGCGTTTGACCCATTTGGCATAGTTAAGCAAAATTATATCCCACAAATGGTTTCTGCATTCCCACAACACATCAGGCATCAAAGTAGGCAATCAAGATAGAGACGTGCAAGACACAACCCCAATCTTCTAAAATATCATTTTGGGGAGAGACAAACCCATGAGAAAAGAAAAAACTTACATTTTGGTGGCATAAATGCTATGCTAGTCAAGTGACTGAGTCCAAAGAAGCTTCTGCTTGGCATTAATCTGAGTGGAAGAGACTTGCTTGGAAAGCAATGTCTACATGTTCAAGTAAAGAGGAGATTATAAGTGGAGTACATTCTTCCTATAAGGAGAGAGTCCAGCATTGTGCTGAGATGGTGTAATGCATTGTTCTCTGCTAGAAACTGGCTCTTTGGTTTGGATACAGATGTTTTACTGAGGAGTCCTCTTGAATCTACAATTTTTTTTGTCTTTTTTAGACGGGATTTCACTATGCAGTTGGGGCTGGTCTTGAACTTACTGTATAATTTAGGCTAGCCTTGGGCTCACAGCAATCTTCCTGAGTGAGAGATTATAGGCATGCAACACCATGCTTGACCTCAAGGATGAACACTTTTTTTAGTCTTTTTTTTGAGACAATGTCTCACTATGCAGTTCAGGGTAGCTTTGAGCTCCCTTTCTAACCCAGGCTGGTTTTGAATTTGCACCAGTTCTCTTTTTTCAGCCAGGGAAGCTAGGATTACAAGCATGTGTCACCATGCCTGGTTTATAATGTATTATCAGGACAGATCAGAATTTTTAAAAATTTTAAATCTCATCTTAAAGAGAATAAAACCAAGCAAAATAAAACAGAGTAAGGCCAATCAAAACAAATCAGTGTAAGTGACACACAAGACTTCACAACAACAGGAAATCAACAATGGTCGTGATAATGTCTCTTGTTGTCTTCAAAATAGCTACAGATATCTTCAGGCACAGTAAAAATCAAACAAAATGGAACAGAATAGAAGCCATTAAAAAAAAGACATTAGAACATAAAAACAAAGGACATGAGAGCAAGACAATAGTGAATCCAAAATGGCTACCATAATATATCTTGCTATCTTCAAAATAGCTGCCCATGCCATCAGACACAACAAAATTGAATAAAACGAAACCATATAACCCAACCCATCAAACCACTGAAACTGATAGAGGACTTCAAAATAAGATATTGGGGAATTAACAATGCACACCTTCAGAAGGAGACCCCCATAGATGCCACACTGCATACCATGATCCTCTGAATAGATGATCAGACCACCAGCCCTAGATCTGCAAGGTCAGTGAAACACCAAATACCATGAGCATCAAATTCCATTTCACCTGAACAGCTGTTATTGCAAACTATTTATGACTGTTTCTCGAGATTTTTATGGGGGTTGGGATTGTTGGCTCTTTTTGTTTCCCAGCCCAAGGGCAGAAGGGGCTGGGTCTGCATCCCCTCACCTCTGCCAGTGCTGGAGGCCCATGCATGATGCTGGTTTAAAGGGAGGACTTGCTTGTTGGTGAATTCTCAGGAGTGATCAGAATTTTACTGAATCCTCAAAATTCTTTCTTTTTCCCTTGTATTGGCACTCAAACTCAAGACCTCGCACTTGTTTGGCAGGCACTTTGCCTCTAAGCTGTATTCCAGGATGGAAATTTTTAAGGGTGTGAAGGAAGTGTTTTAATTCAGAATGTAGTAAAAGGTGAAGTTGACGCATGAGCCCAGTACAAAAGAGATTTCAGCTGATACCAGAGGGAACTCTAGCCCTTGCTGGTTCTTCAGAGATGCCCTGAACTAAGGCAAAGGAGCAAGACATTAGTAACCCAGCACCCATCAGTCAGAAGATGCAGGCTATCCCAAAGGAGGAGGCAAAATTTAAGAGAGTTCTCTCCATCAGGTGGCAGCCCCTGAGGATGGGTCACCTGTGAGTCTTCAGTAGAGGGACTGGCAGCTTGAGGACAGAGGATCTGCACACTGCCATGGCCTCCACCACAGGTATGAAAACTTATTCTCCACAGATCATTCTTTGAGCTCATCAGCAGGACCCTCTCATTGCTCAATAGCAACAAGAGAAACCACAATGTCAGCAGACATTCAGGGACTTCAGTTAACACAGAGCATTATTTGAGCCCCCACATTCCTAAAAGCCCACCTCAGTACCACACGTTAAGTCTTTCTACCAAATCGATAGCTTTGTCTAATAAGCTCAGAAAGGGGCTTAGTGTGAGAGGATCACTGTTCCTGAAATTAAAACATTTCCCCCAAATGCAAAAGATCTGTCACCATTATAGACTTTATCAGGAAATGAGTAACAACAACTATAAAAGAATATAACTAATTCTGAAGATAAGTAAACCAGAAATTTTACAACTAGATCATTGTTACCCTGTTCAAAACAGTTGGTTTCTAGTAATTTGTATTTGAAATTGTTTTGAAATCTGCTCTTTTGGAAATATTTTCCAAGTTCATGATGTATTTTTATGAAGAAATATGAAAATATGGTAGAGAAAATTTAAGCACAGGTAAAAATGAGTTCAAATTCTAACATTTAACACAAACTGGCTATTTTTCATTGGTCAAATCATCTAAACTTTCTGAGTATCTTTTAATGTTTTTTTGTTGTTATTTGTTTGGAAGATTTTTCTGGTTTGTTCTTCTGTAACATTAAAATAATAACTATTGCTATAGAGTTACTGCAGAATTAAGTGCATATATATATATATATACATACATATATATATATGCATATATATACATACACACACATACACACACACACACACACACACACACACACACATATATATATATATATATGATTTTGAGTATAATAGTTATTTGGAGATGTTTAGGAGGGTTTTTTTTTATTCCTCTTTTGCCAGCCATAAGAAGTGTCAGAATGAGGCAATATACCTTGAACATCAGACTTGTCCTTTTATAAATTTTTCTTGTTTAAAGTAATTTACAACTATAGAATTTTTGCAAAAATAATATAGAGACCCCCAAATATCTCACATCCTCAGTCTCTTACTATTTACATGTTACAGTAGTAGGGTACATGCTGAATTATTGAACCAAGCATCAACCTTGACTAACATCCACAGATTATTCAGATATCTTTATTTTTTTACTTCATGTCCTTATGTTCTAAGATGTCTTTTTAACAGCTTTTGAAATAAAATATGATAAATAAGGTAAATAATTGTATTAACTTCCAAAAGGAAGTTATCAAAGTAAATAAACAGTTTTGTGTGGCTTATAAGCTGAATTTTAGACCATTTTAAAAAATGATTTCCAAAAATTCTGTCATCCCCAACAGCATCAGAATTGGAGGGCTAAATATGACAGAGATCAGCATGCTACTGGTATATAAGATGGCTCTGTGAACAAGCTTAGTGTGCAGGTTTTCAAGCAACCTTCTAATAATTCTCACCTTCATTCCCTACTAATATCAGCTGCCTTTCAAATCTAAGCAAAATTTCAATTGGGAGAAAATGGGGGAGGTGATCACCAAGACATAGTTCAGGAGATCAGAATCTGCAGAAGCAGCTTTTATTTGGACTCATGACATAAACTGATCTTGCACAAATAAAGCACCACAGGTAAGAGCACCTCTACTCTCTAGTAAATTTATTTCATTTTTTCAAAAATCCTAATATAGTAAAGTTAATAAAATCATACTCAAAAAGTTATTAGTAGTGATGGCTACATCCTTGGAGTCTTTTCCATGAATATTTAGTTCAAGGTTATAATAGGCTCTGCATTTCATTGGACATTTGTGGAGTTGCTTTGACTTAAGCACCAGATATAACATCCCTTATGCTGAGGCCATGTTTTGATAACCATTCTCACAGGTCCTCATTTGGCCCCTTGCATAGTTAATGTGACTTCAATATAGAATACACATGCTACTGGTCGAGGGGCTGAAATATTCAAATCACTGAAGCATGTTATAGCTAAGGATTAACAAAATTCCCCCTTCTATGCTCCAGAGTAATTAAAATATGCAGTTATGGGCAGATCTGAGAATTGGGATTGCACCTGAAATTTCATGAAGACTCATTAAACCATCAAAGATAATCCTAAGGAAAACATAGTTCTGTGTTTACTCCCTTGGTTTTTGCATGAAAACAAGACTATTTCCTTACCTCATGCAAAAATGAATGTGTTGGACTTCTGTATCTTGTATAACTCCTTTTTGGATAGACATTGCCTTCATATAAGTTCCATGTTTCCATGATCTACAAGTGCAGCAGATCTCAGTTGACAGAGATATTATCACCTGGTGGGGAAATTCAAGGAAGTCAAAAACATGTGGCCTATCATTTTATTTTCTCCAGAGTAAAAAGGTGATAACTTTATGTTTTGTGGAAGGCTCTGTGCTCAAGCACTGATGTTGCCTCTCATAAATGTTATCAACAATGCTGATACCACCTCCACAGTGTTCATATTACACTATTTTCTGACCTCAGTTCTATCTCTAACCTCAGTCATAGTACATATGTTGATATGGCAGGCACTTATGTGGAAAAGGAAAAGCAATATCACTGTTCTCTGCCTCCCCTTTCCCCTGACACGGAAAACTTTGCAATTCTTCTCAAGAGGAAGGGAAGTTATCTCAAAAGGCAACTCACAAAAAAGGAAATACAAATAATATTAATGGACAGGCCTTATTTAGTGCAGAGAACCACCATGAGAATACTCTGTAAAAATGTTAACAATTTCCAAATTTCAAATACTTTCAGCAGGAAACACTAACTTACAGAACGAAATACTTCTTTCATGCTAAAAGTTATAACAGGGATGGGAATTCACTTTATCTTTTCTTTATTGCCTCATACACATGTGAGTACCTCACAATAACTGCACAACAAGAGAATATACTGGGCTCATGGCCCTACTCATAGTAGGCTCATTTTCAAAAAAAAAAAAAAAAAAAGAAAGAAAGAAATAATGTGCTAATTCACTTAAAACACTGTTTTCAAGGTTTATTTGTGTTGTCATTATAGAATTTTCTTCTTTTTATGGCTGCGTAACATTCCATTGTATTTATATGTCACACTTCATTCATTCACCCAACAGTGAGTATTTGAGTCTGTTTCACATCCCGACTATTGCAAATAGTGCTATAAAGGAGTGCCGCTATCACTTCCAGATGCTGATTTCAGTTCTTTTGGATGAATACTCAGAAAATGGGATTTCTTATTTGCTAGATTATATGATAGTTTTTTATTCCTTGAGGAACTGTCATACTGTTTTCCATAATAACTGCATCATTTTGCATTCCTAGTGAAAATGTTCAAAAGTTTCTTTTTCTTCACATCCTCAACAATATTTTTAATCTTGTTTTTATAAGAGCCCTCCTATTAGGTAAGGGTTTGTATTTCACTGTGACTTTAATTTGCATTTCTCTGGTGATTAGTGACCCTTTTTATATTTATTGGACATTTGTATGTCTCTTTTGAAGAAATGTCTGTGTAAGGACTTAGCCCATTTTTAATAGTTACTAGTTGTTCTGTTAATTAAATTACCCACTTAAATATTGTGTGCTTTCACTGACATGAGTCAAAGTCAAAGTAGTCAAAGTCATAGAAGCAAAGAATGGTTATTGTCAGCTGTTAGGTAGGATGGGGAAATAGGGAGTTGCTAATCAGAGGATATGAAATTTTAGTAATGCAAAATGAAACAGTGTGAATGTGCAGGATCTCCTGTCCAGTATGAGAGCTGGTTGGAATAAAAGCTAAGGAGAAAAGTGGGCAAGTCCATGTAAATTGTACAGGATGAATCACTTCAGAACTTATTTAAATAATTTGTGACAATAATGTGGTGTTTTCTAATCCCTAAAACTAAATCTTAGCTAATCAGACTAAAAATGGGATCAAGTAGAGCTGTACCTTGGAAGGGAAAGTGATTATTTGGCCATTAAAAGAAGAAAAAAGCAGACTCACTCTACAAGGATAGATTTCTTTCTGAGGTCAGTGACAGTGGTGCATACAGAACTTGTTTGCCATATCCATTATCTGTACTGAGAGAGTGTGGCTTGGACCATATTTGTATGATTAAGGAGTTAATGAATCACCTTGCAGTAGCTGACCTCTGAATTAGAACTGCTTCACAGTTCCTGTCAGAGGCAGTGGTTTGCAAAAAGCAGCTTCTTATGTACAGTCAGTGCAATGTGCTGTGTTCACTCGGTCTTTAGACCAGAAAACTTTTTTAAAAACCTTAGTTGTCTATCAAATATTTGAAATATATGTAATTTATTTATAGATGAAGATTTTAATTCACAGAATATTTTCCCTCAAAATACTATCTCATACGCTCTAGTCTTAGTAGTAGCTTCAATTATTTTTCAACTGCTTTATCTTACAGTTCATCTTTCCAGCATAAGATATTTTGGCATTGTATTCATAATATAAAAACCCTTAAAATCTGATACTGTAAGCAATTGGCATCGTAGTGCCTTGTTGGCTTGTCCTGGCATGTGGGTATGTCCACGGAGACCCTAGAGGGGGAGTGAGGATGAAAGGGAAACAAGAGACACAAGGAACCGAGACAAGACAGGAGTCTGATCAAGTCTCATTTATTCAAGGAAAAAGTATCAAATATATAGGGTGTTGAGGAGGAGGGAGTTGGGCTCTGAGCCATCAGCAGGTAACTTAGCAACAGTGGCAAGACTAAGGGTCATGGGTTAAATCAAATTTTCAAATTTGCCATGTGCAGGCTCTTAAGGCACGCTTATTAGCATAATTCCTGAATAGGCCAGGCCAAACAAGCTAGGCAAGGTGCTGCTTAACTACCAAACTTAACTCCTAGAGGGAGTTAAGGTGGTGCAGCCTGCAGAGATAAGGTGGCAGCCAATTACAGGGCTTCCCACATTGGCTCAAATAAAATTGATTGTTGATATTTAAAACTTCGATATTCATCCTCTCTATATTAAACTAAGTTGGAAACCACAGTGGAGAAAAGGTCAAAACTGATCCTTTCACTTTTCATATTCTTAAAGTTCAAAATAAATCTTTGTTCTACAGAAGTGCCATAGCAGACAACAATTTTGAGATGGGGCTCAAATCTCCAACTCTAACCATGCAATTTAGGAAACATTACACAGGTTCAGTTATTTCATCAGTGAAATGATGTTAACACTATTCTTGGAGCATCGTTTCAAGGATCAGATAGGAATTTGTATACAAAATAAGATAGCAATAATGAGTGATCATTTGATAAAGATTTTAAAACCCTGATTTGTCTGCTCTTAACTTTTTAACCCAAAGAAACTAGTAGAAACAAAAGAATTTATTTTGACCCAAAAAAAAGCAGCCTGATAATGTCAATTCCCTTCTTGTCTTAAACATACTCTTTGTCTCTTCCTGAATACTCTTCCACACAGTATTAATTTCCACAGATCAATTAAATACTTCTGATTTTGTTGAACTGAAATAACAGTTTTCTATAAAAGAAAAATACAAAAGTAAGTACTGAGAATTACAACAGAAGTTTTCTAAAAGCAGCAGATGTGACTTATCCATCTTTACAACACTGAAATGAGTGGAAATACACACACGGAAAGTGCTCTGAGACATTTTCTGTGAAAAGGCACAGCTAATCACTCAGCCGGCCATTCTGAACTTCCTCTTAAAAGTTAAATTAGTAACTTCTCCTCCACAGTGTTATTGGGAAGAATTAAGAGAATGTAAAAATTTCTACAAGTTCCTGGCCTTTGTGTTCTTTGGGTCATTGACTTGAGTCTCAGTGTTTAACCAGAGAGTCAGCAAGTGAACAAACATCTTTCCCAAAATAGTTTCCAAATCAAAATTTGTCTAGCACACATTCACAGTATTAATATGGGTGATGTATACTCTACTGTATTCAAGCTTTCATAGATACATAGATGATAGGTAGATAGATAATAGATAGATAGATAGATAGATAGATAGATAGATAGATAGATAACTTGAGCAACTGTAACTCAATTACAGAAATTCTCTTTAAAACTTCTGATCTGCCACAAATTTGACCTATCATTTTGTGACCAAGACAAGGTCTCATTGTGCATCATCACCTACTCATACCCTCAGTAAGAACTACTTTTTAACATTATAGTCACCTAATGATTCATCATATTCTATATTGAGGATATAACCATTACAACTTTCATAGAGTAAGAGAAAATAAAAGCTGAATTAAGAACAGTCTGTTTGGGGAAGGCTTGTCTCTTTTAAACAAATGCTTTGTTATTCATTCCTCTTGGTAGAAGACTACTGTGAAGTTTGATGCTACTATCATAATGCTTTAGAATACTCATAAGTCATATAACTTTCACTAAGGCATGGTCTTTGAATTATTTTTGTCTATGTGCACTTATCCTTGACTAGCTCAGCCCAAAGCCAAACTCATCTAAAGTTAGATTCCTATACTCAGAGTTAATATTCAAAAACCAGCTGATCCTAGACTGGTTCCAGGCAACAACCAGCCAGAGAAGGCATGGTCCCAGTACCTAAGCACTCTGTTCGGTTCCTATCAGTTACCTCTGGGGGAGGGACAGGACAAAGGTTATTGTAAGGTCAAGATGATACTGAGGAAGGGGTAATAGGATGGAGGCAATGCTATTTATAAATAAATATGGATTTTTACATTTATCTTAACAATCAATAAGGCCACACCAATACTATCTTGAAAATATGCATCCTAAATATATAGAAAATTGGAAAGATAAAAGAATCCCATGTGTAAGAAGCTGCTTAAATTTTTCCAACACTAAAAGACAGTCATAGGGACAGAAATATAAAAGTCTTCAAACCTCTAAATAAAAGCAAATTTCTTGAGACAGAGAGAAAGAGTTTCCAGATTTCCCTAGGAGCTACCACCACCTTGGTATCTGTGAGTTGAGCATATGGCCAATCGACACTGAATAAACAGGTCAGAGACATTGAGACCAGAGGAAATTCTAGCTTAGAAGTTTTCAGAGCTAGAGAGAAACAAAGAAAGTGAGAGAATTCTAGTGCTGACCTGCAGTGCTCAGGAACACAGACAATATATCCAGTATCACTCAGCTGGTACATGTACATCTTCTTGCCCAAGTTTCATGTAAGACTGTGCTCTCAAAACCAAACCACAGTCCACAAAACAATGCCATTTCTGGTTTGGGTTTTTCCCCATGAGTTCTCAGTAACAATAACTGAGAAAATTAATTCAATGTTGCCAAACCATCTCTAACCTTTTCAAAAAGACGTATTGATCAACAATTATTTAAAGGTAGAGTTTTTAATAGCAAAAACCTCTTAC